CTAGGAACTATTTCGGGATTTTAGAGATTTTCGGGACCAATCGAATTAATAATCGATATTTTGTCAGTTTTGTAATATTTTTTATCGACTTTGTTATCGATATTTTTATTGATTCAGTTATCGATTTTATAATCGATTTTGTTACCGATATTCTTATCGGTTTTGTTATCGATATTTTTATCAGTTGTTTATTGATATTTTTTTCGATTTTGTTATCGATTTTTCTATCGATTTTGTTGTCGATATATATCGACTGTTATCGATTTTGTAATCGAGTTTTTGATAGATTTTGTTATAGATTTTACTATAGATTTTGTTGTCGATATATTTACAGATTTTCTTGTCGATATTTTTATCGATTTTGTCATCAATATTTTTATCGGTTTTGTTACCGATATTTTTATCGATTTTACTATTGATATTGTTATCGTTTTTGTTATCGACATTTTTATCGGTTTTATTATCGATATTATCTCTTTTGTAATCGATTTTGTTATCGACTTTCTCGATTCTGTTATCGATTTTGTAATCGAGTTTTTGATAGATTTTGTAATCGATTTAGATATTGATTTTGTAATCGATTTAGCTATCGATTTTTGTATCGATATTTTTGTCGATTTTGTTATCGATATTTTTTTACGATTTTGTTATCTGTTTTGCTATCGATTTTGCCATCGATATTATAAATTTTGATAACGATATTTTCATCGATTTTTTTATCAATGTTTTTATCGATTTCGCAATCGATATTATCATCGCTTTTGTTATCGATATTTTTTTCTTAGTGTGTGCTTTCGTTTTTGACTTGGATATGATCTTAACCATATTTACCACGTATTCTACGTTTCACACCAAGACGAAGGCGCTGGACTGTTCCTTTTTACGGTCGTTATCGAAACTCCTATAAAAAAATGCCGAAATTTTGAACTCACAGAGACGTGTTTTTTCAATTTTTTAGCAGTTGATAAACTATTTGTCGTAGAAAATCAGTTAATTAATCAAAATGTACGGAATTGCCTCGGCTTTACATTATAGTGTGAAATAGATTTAAATAAAAAATTTTTTCCATTAAAAAATTTCATTTTTTTTTGGTATTAACACCGTTTGATTTGTGTTTCTTTTTTTGCATTCTAAATAGTTTTCAAACTCTATGGAGTGCACTGTTAAAGTTTGAGAACGGAAAACTAAAACTCTTGAAGTTACGAGTTTTTCATGCCTGCGTAGCACTGGCAGTTCATGCCTGCGCGCTGTTAAGTAATAAAAATTATATTAATAAATGCAATTTTCTATGGCACAAAATTATTTATTTAAATCTATCTCTCACTAAACAAGAAAGCCGAGATACTTACGCACATTTTGATCACTTAACTGATTTTCTCCGACGAATAGTTTATTAACTGCAAAAAATTTAAAAGATACTTCTCTGCGAGTTCAAAATGTCGGAAATTGTCTTTTCGAGATTGTCGAATATCATGATGAAATAAAAAAATAAGCGTCTTCTTTTTTCGATAAAGAACGCAATAAAAATATTTCACACAAAAAAAAACCTTGAGGTGTAAATTGTATATGGAATGACCCATATGTAAGTATGTTGATGAACTTAACGAGCCAACGCAACTTGGTGTTCAAAAACAGATAAAAGAAAAACAACGAGTATTGTAATTTTTAGGTGTTCTAAATAAAGTTCCAGGCAAAATTTTGTCCATTTTACGGCAAAATTTTCTTTACAAAATATTAGGGGGCCTTAACATTAAGTGAACCTTCAGAGAAATCATATCGCACATTTGCTGCAAGAGAAAAAGGTTTTCTCTTTTTCTATGTTGTGTAGAAATTGCATAGCTGCATCTGTTAACCATAGCTCATTTGAAGAAAACTTGTCTTCATTTTTATTATGGGAGCGTATGTAAACTGTAAACTTTATAGACATTTTTCGCGAGTTTAAAATTTTTTTGAATTATGGCACTCTTGCAGCAAATGTACAATATAAAAAACTAATCTCTTGAAGAAAAAAATCAAGTTATGGCATAGCTTGGATATAAAACCAGTTATTTTATCAAAAGTTTGGTATTATTTTTAAGAGGAAATTCAATGTATTGTCTATATGTAAATATACTAGTATATGCTAATGCAAGCTATATTCATACGTAAATATTTTTGTAAATACTTATATAAACTCAATTTTCCACTTGAGTGTTCCTATAATTTTAACTGTAAAAATAAATTTAATATTTTATATGTTTTTATGTGTATGCACATATTTATTAATGTACACTAGGGCGGAGTAATTAATTTTCGAAGGAGGTTTATGCATATGTATACGAATTCTACTTTCGATTAAAAGAAAAAAGGGTGAACAAACTCCCCCCCCCCCAATTTTTATAAGAAAAATCAGTTTATTACAATTTTTCCTGAACGAAATTAATTTTTCATTTATAAAATTTTGTGTCTTCTTCATACCATATACTGTTTTTTATTTTGAAAACTGGGAGGGTCATCCGTCATTTTTGGTGTATGGTTTGTACGCCATTTTCGCTTAAAATTAATCGCAGAATTTTAATTTGCTATACACTTTTTCGAAAATTTTGCTCCGATAAAATTACTCCGCCCTAATGTGCACCCAGTACTTCTCTAGAAATAGCTAGATGCTGGATATACATAATAGTCAGAATAGACATATCTACAAATTTTTTCTATTCAATTTCGATTTGAATTTCTTATCGCTTATACATCACCTTTTCACTAGGCATTAAAATGGCAAAAAAGTGTATCAATTAAAAAAGTCAAGTGTCACATTGTTTGTATGTATAGTATATCAGTGATTTTCAAAATTTTACTTACAAATACAAAGTACAAAAGTATTTGGGATTTCATTAAGGTCCGACCGAGCGTTCGGGTTCGCTTGGCGAACAGATCGGGCATGAAGTTCGGGTGCAGATTCGATTCGGCTTCGGCCAAAATTGGCCGTGTTATTTGACCAAAAAGTAGTAGAGAAATTTTTACAAATTAAAAAATTTAAACTTTTTTTATTTTTGTGCCTCTGTGGCGTTTCTGCGACTTCATTTTATTGCTTTTTTGATGGAAACTTTCTTATTTCTTGGCGTTACTTTAATTTTATTTCCTGCCCGAAGTTTTAATGCCCGGGTTTTTTGTACTTTCCACTATTTAACTATCCAGTAACTTGCCAGTAGCCAAACTTCAGAGAGTAAGCGGACAATTGCTTCTATTGAGAGAACATGCAAGAAAGTACGAAAGCGCAAAACCAGCAAGAAGTTGCAAGTTTTACTAACAGCTGATAAATTTATTATTTTCCGAAGCAACTTTCTAAGAAAAAAAAAATTATTTCCTATCTTGTTATATACTTAAATAGATCTATTTTATCAATCGCAACTATAAAAGCTTCAGAAACTTGCAGGTTCAGGTGTCATTTTCGCTCTCTCAATTTACTCTCTTTTGCTGGTTTCTTGCAAGCTCTTGCGCACAAAAACGCCATCCAGTAAAAAACAGGGCTAACTTATTTCAAAATTATTTTATATAAGAGCGTATTAGACGTGGCAAGATTTCTAACTTTTCCACGTAATTCGATGTAAAATTGAGCCAGACAGAGAACTTTCTGTGACATTTCGGAAATCGGTTTCAGAAATAAAAGTTGAAAAATGTGACTGCAATTGAAAGAGCGAAAATCGATCTGGTAAATATATTTCAACTTGATCGTGCTGCACTAGCGATTCTCATTTCTGCTGCAAGTGCTGTCAAACTAATCGAGTGTTGCCGTGTGAAACTAATCGCTGGTGTGTACGAAATAATAAGGGATAATATAAAAAAAAATTTTAAATGCTTTTAATTAATTATTTTGCGGAATTTAATTGTTTAGTTATAAATAATAAATTAATCTACTGTACATACAATGCATACATTTATATATATTTATTAATATTTTATAATTCTCCAATATTTTTTATGATAAAATACGTTACGCTCGAAAAATACTCATTTGCATTTACATACATATACATATGTATGTATTGTATTTTTAAAGGGCAGTTGTATGTAAATTATTGAATGCATATTTATATGCCTGTAAATTTCTGTAAATACGTTACTGCATATTTAATGTATACGCATATGTGTGACCATTATCCTGTTTGTGTATTGCATGCCATATGCTGATGCTTGATTGTATATAGTTGTACGTACATAAATAGTTATTCAAATTTTAAAGAAAAATATATACGAAAGTATTGCTATAAAATTGCATGGCATGAAAAGTTTCGTTGAAAGTTACACTGTTGTGCATTTGAATGCAACATTTAAATTATTTATTTATATATGCTTTGTTATTTTTGTTTTTTTTTACAGTTACTTAATTCTTTTCTTTTTAACAACCACCACGATTTTCATTAAATAACATCCCACAATAACATTATTCCATAAATCGACAATTGCTTTGTATAAATAAAAAAAACTATAATACAAATTTACTTCACATCCTGCTTTCCTTTTGGTATCTTTAAGAAAAAGAACTAAACAAATCCCTTAATTGTTTCTCATCACACAATGCGTGTGTTGAGTGAAAGTTGCATAAATGCGATCGGCCTGATGTTGAATCACAGCCTACCCCCATGCTTTCTGTGTTCACTACATTGTCATATACGCTTCATTACCACACGTACTAAAATATCGAGCCCTAACCGCCAAAATAACGTAAGCGACATTTTTTTCAAAATTTTATTTTAGATGCAGAAATATTCCTAGAGCATCTAGATGCATTTCTGCATCAAAAATAAAATTTCGAAAAAATGTCGCTTACGTTATTTTGGCGGTTAGGGCTCGATATGTTCCGAGTGCCTGGTATCACTATGTATTACACAGTTACTATTATTCAAACCATGTAACTATATGTATAAGTTTTAGCATTTATTTGTACTAACTTTCTATTTTATTTCGTTTCGTTCGTTCGTTCGTTTTGTTCGTCTCCTTCTTCTACTCTTCACGTGTTGAAGGTACATGAAGCTGATGCCTGTTTGGTGCTGGCCAATAAATATTGCCAAGATCCCGATGCCGAAGATGCTGCCAATATTATGCGAGTCATCTCAATTAAAAACTACAGCGAAGACATACGAGTGATTATACAACTTATGCAATATCATAATAAGGTAAGTGCATATGTACATATTAGGGATGTTGCGGTTGTAGAATTTTAGACATCCGCGGATGCGAATGCGGATGCGAATATCTAACAGCTAACATCCTCGGATGCGTATGCGAATGCGGATGTCAAGTATTTAAAAAAAAAAAAAATTAGAATCAAGCATAATGGCGAGATCGTTGTTTAAACAGCGCTGACAAGCCAAACCAGATACATATATATGTTGTTTCAGAATTTGGAGAACCTGTAACTTTATCAGCACTTTTCGATTTTAGTTTTTGTAGTTCATTTTTGATACTTTCTTCTGCGACTGCTTTGAAAAATGTGTGCTTATAGCGAGCAAAATAGATGGATATGGAAAATAAACTGTTTTCAAAGTCGTGGCTGCCAGCCGAATCGGATCAGAATATTGTTATTTTTTTAAGCACCCCGTTTTTTGTAAGCATTTGAATAACAGATAGTTGCGTAATTCTTATCTAAATAAAGGTTAGACGTATAGCTTTTTAATTATTTGAGCAACGATTCTCTTTAGAGCTAGACGTTGATCATATCTACTGGAAATCCCTATTGAGTGAGCTTACTCATTGCACCCAAAAAAAAAATCGTCTCTTAATTGAAGAGAAACAGCAATCAAAATGAAGAAAAATGGGCACGAAACAGCACTAAAGAAGTTTTATCCTCTTTTCATGCCCAACATTTCTTCAAAATAATAGATTACATCCACGGTTCCATATTTTCGTGTACGTTTTTACACATTCCAAAGAAAAATTACGCATTCGGGAGAATTTTTTACTCATTCGGAAGATTTTTCGACCTTAAAGTAAGGAAAGTTTTTCTTTGATCCAGAGATGGATTTTTGGTTCCGTGTGACTTTAAATAGCAGAGAAGGCACAGTTTTACCACAGAAGTTTTTAGCCAAGGATCCAATGTAAAAAAGAAATATTACCCAAGAAGTAAACAAAACTACTGTTTTAAAAATGTTTGCCAAAAATAATTTTCCCAAAGAGCCCCATTTGAAATTATTCAAACGAATATATGTAATAGGTGGCATACGCGGTACGGCTGACTCGCGAGTCATTTGTGTACCTGTTGACTCGCCTTCGACTACACCCAGTTGAATCATTCCGAGTTATGCCGGGAGTCATGTTGGTGTAACTAACACATATTTATTTCCACAAACTCTTCCGAACCGACTCACGAGTCACACGCACCGTGTATGCCGCCTACAACATCAAAAGCCAATCACGAACATTTTGTTAAGAATTACAGTGCACACTTTCTTCTTTTGTGTCTAGTAGTTTTTTTTAAGATTGGTCCAAAAAAAAACATAATAAAGAAAGAAGCCAAAGCAGGTATTTAAAGCACAGAAAAAAAATATCATTAAAATTACTATGTTCTCTTTGACGTACGTCAAAGGTCAAGTAGGAGTGGGACCTTTCATGGTTGCCCATTGATATCTCGGTTATATAGCTTAAAAAATAATATTTAAAGACATTTTTATCAAAGTTAATAGATATGACATTTGACCAGTTTTGTTAGACAAATACTCCTACGACCACAGGCAAAAATATTGGCTACAATATGTAATTTTTGACTTGACGTTTCATCAAGTCATCAGCAATTTGATCTATGTTATTTTGATAAAAACATATTAAGATGAAATTATACGTTTAATAACAGCGCTCCGTATCTTCTTCTTCATCGCACTTGGCATAACCGCCGTTTGTCGATTTTGACCGAGACCAAAGAGCTTCTCCATTGCTTCTCTCCTGTTCGAATTTGCGCCAGTTGGTTATCCCGAGCGCAGACAGGTCCTTCTGCACTTGGTCCTTCCATTGCGTTCGTGGGCGCCCTTGCTTTTGTTGTCCACCCATGGTGGCGGAGTCGAAGGATCTTTATACCTTAGCGTCGTCATCCATGCGTTCAACATGTCAAAGCCAGCGTAATCGCTGTATTTTTATGCGCTTAACTACACTCAGAAAAAACTCAGACAAAAATATTTCTCTCAACACATGGTGTGGTAACTACAACCACCAAATCATGTGTTGAGAAAAACATATTTAGTTGACGTAACCAAACTCTTTTCTCAGTATATGTCCATGTCGTGTTCATACAGTACGTCATTCCGTCTTCTCCGATACCCGTCGTCCAGGAAAACAGGGCCGTAGATCTTGCGTAGAATAGTTCTCTCGAAAGCCCCCTTCTCATCTTTGTTCGAAATCGTCCAAGTTTCTGCGCCATATAAAAGGACGGGCATGATGAGAGATCTGTATGCAGTTTCTTAGCCCATTCAAATTTAGTATAACAAAGTGCAAGTTTGAGGTGGCTAGCACTTACCATTAATTTTTAGCAATTTTTTTTGTTGGAGGTGTCGCCCATTTTCTCCATATAAAATAATGGTTGAAAATTTTTTTATACGGAAAAAATGTGCGACACCTTCAACAAAAAAATTTCCCAAAAATTAATGGTAAGTCCTAGCTTACTCACACTTGCACTTTATTGTACTAAAATTAAATGGGCTAAAAAACTGCATACCCAACTTTTTTCTAGAGAGCATACATAAAAAGTGCAATATTTGAATGAAATTTTGCAGAATTTTCTTTAATTTTGCACAAGGTTTGGAACTTTGATTTTTGGGGTTTTTGTTGTAGAATCAATGTAAAATCAATTTGCTGAATCCTAAGCCAATCTCCAGTCATCAACAACATAAGGTACGATTAAGGAACGGAACATCCGAACAGCAAATTGAGGCCGCCGCTCTAAAGTGGCTAAGAACCATTTTTGGCAAATATTTTTAATTGCGGACTACGGAGGCTGTTTATGACAAAAAAACTTCTGATCCAGAGCCTACTATAATTTTTATACTGAAAAGAGTGTCTTAAGATGGAACGTCCGAAACGCAGGAAATGCCCATTTATTTAAAAAAACTTTAAAATTTCAAGGATATGATTAATCCAAAATTATTAGTGCATTGTCGAACAACATTACAAATTTAATCAGAACCAAATCGCTGGTCGAACGACGCCGCAATATTTCGCCCAGTAAAACACCACCGAAACGAAATTCGCATCAACTAAATGACAAACGAAAAATCTAAAAATACAAAAGCGAAAATATGAAACCCCAAATTTCGTCAGACGAAATTCGTCGCCGCTTTGGTTGTGTGCAATCTCATATACTACGATGTGTACTAATTCTGACACCGAACTTTCTATCGATGAAGTTCGCTCAGTATCACTTCTTTTGTCTCATTTGCTTCCATATAACGAATACCCACGATTTTTTTTTAATATGGGAGAAAACCGCAACATCTTCGGAAAAAAAGAATTCTAAAAATCAACGCTAATTGTTAGCCATTTGAAACTTGTACCTTATTCTAATAGAACCAAATGTGCTATAAAACTGTATACTCAGAATCTTTCTCGGAAATGTAATGAAAAAAGCTCGAAATTTTTACGAAAGTTTGTTCAATTTTTTTTTTATCTTACACAAAGTTTGAAACCTTTGATTAACACGAGCTTTGTTAAAGAACTATGCTTTGATTAACAAACACCGAAATTTAAAAAAAAACAAAAAATTATTTTAAAATGGTTTCGCGAGTGTATTGATTTTTTCTGAGTAAAATGTACTGCCATACGGTGTTTTCTAAATTATCTTTTTTACATATCCCATTTCAGGCGTATTTACTTAACATACCTTCATGGGACTGGAAACAGGGTGATGACGTCATTTGCTTAGCCGAACTTAAACTTGGTTTTATAGCGCAGAGTTGTTTGGCGCCAGGCTTCTCAACAATGATGGCCAATTTGTTTGCGATGCGATCGTTTAAGACTGTAAGTATTCGCAGTAACACAACTTAAGTAGCGACTTAACTTTAAAATAACGGCCAATAAAAAGCAATATGAACCTTTTGTATTAAAATTGTCTATGTGTAGAGAACTAAATCTTCAAGTCTGGCAGCAATCAAATATTGTTATACAAGTTTATTGTACTTTGATAAGCCGCAGTACAAATAAATTCCTCGGACAAGCCGAATTTACAATAACCTCTTTCTCATTCACTTGGCAGTCATGCGCTGTCAAAATAGTCTGATCTTGTGAAAAATAAAAACTTGACACATTTTATGTTACAGATTTTTTGATTTCAAACCTCCTTATGAACAATTCAACGCATTTTTTTTTTTTTGTTATATACTAAGTAACATTCAAAGTATTTTAATCCACTACCTATATATGTACCTGTAGTCACCAGACATGCAGTCTTGGACCAATGATTATCTGCGCGGTACCGGCATGGAAATGTACACAGAAACTTTGAGTCCCACATTTATTGGAATACCATTTGCTCAGGCCACTGAGTAAGTTTTCGAACGCAGGCATTGGCGTGTGTCTATCAAACAACTTGCCTTCATAAAAATACAAATACATTCTCAGCTATTCGTTAAACAGTATCTCTATCGTATGATACAATGTTATTTCTACAAATAAAATTAAACTTTTAATTTTATTTATTGACACATTTACATACAAATAAATATTTATTTCTTATTGGCTTTATTCCTCATTTATTTTTGATACACTTTCAAATAAAATTTATCTACAAACAAACAAAAAAAATGCGCACCTCTTTTCGCAGCCTGCAGATAAATTCTGAACTGCATATTTATGTATATGCATACTAGGGCTGTGCGATTAATTGATTTTTTCATATACAGCATGATACAATAATTTTTAGAAGGTAGTTTCACTTCTTCTTCTTATCCGCCATGTTAGCTATCTGACAGAAAACGTGTTTCGTATTTTTTGTTGTACCAACTTTTTCAAAAAAAATCCAGCTTTTGACGTTGGAAAAATAAAACAAAGAAAAGCCAAACATATAAGTAGAGAAATTTTCGATTATTTTGTAATAATTTTCTTCATAAAAAATTAACTGCTGCTTTCGTGGATATTGCAAAACGGAATAGATGTAAGGACACAGCTATAAGAGCCACCGCACACCACAGACTTTATCGGCCGCCTATTTTAATGATAGGGCTCGCTTGAAATATGTACATGAAGATGTATGGAGGGGCGCACATTACACCAGCTTAATCGCTCTGACCAATAAGTTGTGGTGCAATGGAAAGACTAGCGAGCACATCTAAATTGGCGGCCGATAAAGTCCGTGGTGTGCGATGGATCTAATCCATTATAAACAAGAAATACTGCTGTTATATTTTCAATTTTATGATTTTTATTCATGTGATTAGCAGTGGCAAAAATGTGTGTATAAAATACGTATATTTATATTAAAAATTAAGTGATCAAGTTATGAAACATATAAATCTTTACATGTTCTGTTAAAAAATATTTAAAATAACAAGCTATAATCCCCAAGTTCTATATCGTAGCAGTGGCCACATTGCGTGTTTGTCACAGACACGGTTTATGTCAAAAATTTTGAAGTGAAACTACCTTCTAAAAATTATTGTATCATGATATACAGAATGTAAAAAATAAAATAAGCATTTTCCAAAGCAAACTCTTTTAACGAGCAAAATTATTATTTTTTGAGTAATCACATTGCATGTAACTCGATTAATCATCGTTTTGAGTAATCAAAATCTTGATTACTCGAGTAATTGATTAACCGAATAATTGATTAACCAACTTGCTCGAGTAATCGAATAATCGCACAGCCCTAATGCATACATATGTATGTATGTATATGAAATTTCTCTGCAGGGTATAGCATACACACACTCACATACACATGTATACTACATACATACATACAATCAAACGACTAACCTCTTAAATGTCCAGTGTTTCGTTTCGTTCTAAATGTTTTTTCCGACGTCATTCTAATTGTTGTTTGACGATATTTTTTTTCTTTTCTAATTGTGACTTTTATTCGTTGTGAGTAATTTGAAACAGTAAATAAATTAACGGCAACTCACTAGTAAATTGTAAACACACAGCCTCTTATAAATTTTACTTTTCAATTATACTCCTTTCTTCGCAAAATTTTCGTCTTACTCTTAAATCGTAAACTGGTAATTGCGTTCTGTTTTTATTTTCAGTTTTTCGTGGTGTTCTCAGCTGAATTTTAAGTGTTCTTCTTTTTAAAAGCCTTCGATGTTGTGACGTATTTTTAATAAGAATAATTCAAATCAAAAACTAAATAAGAAATTATGAAATTATTTTACAACTTGTTTTCTGATTTTTTTAATTACGTGATATGTTAATTGGACGTTAACCAACTAATGCAAATTATTATTTTAATAATCGTTTGAAGACTTGCACTGAAACTTGGATTTTACGTATGGCATTAGTGACTAAGCCCAACCCATTTAGAATTTCATACTAAACAACTGCGTACTAGGTACCAAAGGGCCGTTTGCACCACGTCTAGCACTAACTGGAGGTACATCCTTCAGTTAAGCACATCGACAGCTTTATCGATCACATATTATGGGCGGGATACCGATGCTTAACTGGAAGTTAGAATTAATCAGACATGATGCGAACGGCCCTTATAGGGTAACCAGAATGCGAATATATAAGGTTGAACCGTAAGGCGGCGCTGGTCTCGAAATATTTGTAGAATTTTGTATCATTCGTCCGACCGATTTGACTCATATTCGGAACATCTGTACGTACAAAGCACGATTGAGAGAATACAAAGGTTGCGCCGATCTCGGACCGCTATTCCTCTCTTAACGAATTTGACAGAATCGTTGTTTGCATGACGTCACACTGGTGCAACTTGTTTACGTTTTCCTTGCAACACTTTTTCTTCTTCTTCCATTCTTGCTCACGTTTTGGCATTTCTCTCTCGCAATTGCACCAGTGTGACGTCACGCAAAAGTTATTCTCAAAAATCCTCTCTGATCGGCGCAATCTTGTATTCTATCATTCTTGCGTACAAAGGACCACATATCGATGGTTCTCTGCATCAACTTCGAGTTTTCACAAACTCGTCCAGAAAAATAGTCCGGCCGACTTCGGCTTAGTGAGAAGCAAATATTACTAGCTAAAAATGGCTCTCAACAGCCTGAGAATCAACCAAAGAGACACAAATTGACCAGTTTCGGGCACATGCGGGCGAGCAAAAGAACAGACTTGTTATGCGTCCTGGTTTCAGGAATCCAAAAGTTGGCAACCCTGGTTACTATCAATATAGAAGTATTACATACATGGGACATTAGGACCAATAAAGGCCCGGTTAAGCAAGACCTGGACTTGAATTGATTTACCTAAAAACTTAGAAACGATTACTTTCCGTGTCATCTATTGCTTTTTCTCTCTTTTATACTCAGAACTTGTATTTATACACGCAAAAGTTAAAACGATTAATTTTTTCAATTGTATTTAAAGTTTGTTTTTCGATTGCCTGAAGAATTGCATTAATACAAAATATCATATTTGTGTGGCATATCTGGAGGAGTTTTATAATAAAATATTTGAAAAAATTATGTGGCAGCATGATTCTCTCACGGCTGTCTTTGCACTTAGAAATCAAAAGTCTATAGTTCTCCAAGTTTCTTAGTGAAGTTGTTTTTTTGTGTGCGCGCCGCTCATTTGCTAGATATACAATTTTCAAGTCAAGTCAAGTCTAAGTCTTGCATAACTTAGCTATAGCTAATTTTTATATAATTTAAGGCCTCATTTTGAAATATAAGTATTTTTAGTTTTAAGGTTGCACCACACCGCACATACAAACAGAGCAGCCGAAATAGGAAAGAAGAATAACAGCGCTATAATTTTTAAATTATGATTATGGAGGGAGTTTCTGAGAGGTAGTGAATTCAAAAAAAATATAAAGCAAAGTGCACTTTACTATTAAAGTTTCTAAAGTCATTTTTTAATGTACCTCGCCTATTGGAGTTCGCTCTCCCCCTTGTAAACACTCATTCTCTTTTAGTTTACTATCGGCGTCTACTTTAGTATTGTCCAAATTGTATTGTATAAATAAGTTAGATATAGGACTTTTATTTTTATTTTTTTCACGGTAGACTTTCCGCTGGAAATGCCCATGTATATGTATGCACATAAAATAAATAATATGCAATATAAAATGGAAATTTAAGAAGGATTCAGCATTCAGCCAAAAGTTGACGCTTTTCTGGACAAGATTTGTTTTCGATAGCAAAAGTCCTGTTTGTCTCAGCTCAGCTTTTATGTAGCTAAAAGTAAGGGTTTCAATGCAAATACATGTCATGCACCTAATACAGTATACAGGTATTGTAAATGTTTTCGATTTGTCATTTTTAAAAACAAGAAATAGGAATTTCATTAAAAATGAAATAAATATGTATCTTTCTTTTTTTCCAAAATTGATAAAATTTAGTATGTGGAGCCTAAAAAATTTCGTAGGATGTGGGCACAAGAAACTCCTTATTATCTTCCCAATTGGACATTTTTGGCGTCAACGAGCAGGGTACACCGAATCAAAAAATATTTTTTTCTAAATTGGCGCCTATTTTTCTAGAAATAGTGGGCGATAATTTAAATCGATTTTGACGTTCTTATACTCTGAACTGCATAAAAATCGGTTCCACACCTTGGGAGCGATTTCAAAGGTTAGACTTATTTTTGGCGCCAACAAAAGGCAGTCTAAGAAACTGTATAGTGAAGAGGGCAAAAAAGTGACTAAAATCCTTCACGACTAAAAGGATTACTATTAAAACTATAATGCACGAGGTTCCAAAAAAAAAATTGCATATAACTTTTCATTAAAGAACAACAATTCTAATATTTTTACAATTTTATGTACCTAAATGATAATTTCTAAAAATAAATGAATGTAAATGGGTTGGGCTTTTTTCTGTTGAAGTACTCACGTAATAACGAACACGTAAATTTTTCACACAAAAAATGTTGAGGCCTAAGTACACAAATGATTTACATTTTCATACATATTTACATGAGACATCAAAATCTTGTAAGCAGCAACAGCACTATGTTCTAACTTGTACATATGTATTAGATATTCTTTACTTCTGCCAATAAACTATGGCCTTTAAGAGGCCCTTTCACATCCTCTTCTCCATTTAGAATATCGAAAAATCAAAATTAAACATATGGGCCAGTGTTGTTGCTGCTTTTCCCGCATAAATACCATGTCGAGCACATAAAGTTCGATTCTCTTTCATTGATATTTTGTGATAATTTTATATCATACATATGTACGAGTACCAATATTATCACTTTTAGTTAGTTTTTATTATTTATATTCTCACTCAAATACATTTTTTAATTTGTACATAATCAGAGCAAACGTATGCTTACTAGGCTGGGTCGCGAAATAAAAGCTTATTTCAAGTGCTTTTTGGCAACTCAACAATGTTCGCTCTAGACCTGCACTAAAACAGACCTCAAAACTAGTTGGACAAAGGATTGACGAAAATTCGTTTTCGGATATCAATTTAATATTGACATTAGAGTTATGATGAAACACTGTTTTGTATGTTTTAAGTGCGTGACTGGTGCGGACATTTTTATGACGCCCAAATTTTCTTTAAGTAAACTTTATTCCTCCGTACGGCAACCGACCCGGCCTAATGCTCACTTTTACAAACGATAGCCTGCTCGCGTGCTAAAGATCTTTTAATTGTAAGTTTGATCTACATACTTATACATACTTAATACACTACATACTTATATAGTACAAAGCTATTTTTTTTTTTGTTTTAAGTAAAAGTAATTGTATGAATGAGAGTGCAAAATTTCCTACTCCGCCACCAATGATTCGCTTATTTAGCGTTTGCAACAAATATGTAAGAAGCATGGTCCAGTAAGATCCATGTTACCAGCCTTGCATTCTCTATTTTACAACCTTGTAATAAAAAAATAAAAAAACTTATAATTGCCTGCCACAGTCATCGAAGAGTCTAGCTTTGCATACCCCTTTGATATTGAAAAGTTCGCTCAAGAAAACTATCCTCTGAAGTACAAGCGTGCTATCATACAGAACTGCCACGCCCATGCAAATAAATGCACATTCTGTAAGCAACTACAAGGCCAATGATAATTGCTCGCCTGATAGCGCCTGATGCGTCACATCCCTGGATTATGCGCTGCAGCAATTCGCATTTATGTAGTTTCCTTAGACTGTACTTCTGTAGTGCCGAATGTATGTAAATATATAAGAATTTGCTATAAAACTTCTACTTTAATTTTGGTTACTAAATCCGTACCGCAATCGAATCATTTTTAACTTTCAGTCACCAGATACGCAGGCCTGGCAAAACGATTATCTCCAAGGTACCGGGTGTGAGATGTACACCGAAACCCTCTCACCTTCATTTACCGGCATGACATTCCCACAAGCCAGCGAGTAAGACCCGAAGCAAGCGAATTATCTACTTTGCGTTTTTAGTTTGGTTTTTTAACTACTTACTTTAGAATAATTACACCTTTTTACTACAAAAAAAAAAATATATAAAAAGTAACTGCTTTTTGCTTAGAATTAACTAGAGACGATATAAACATATAATTTAAATATAAAAAAAAAAATAATAAATACTAAAACCACAAGTGAAATGCATCAGCTGAAAGAGAGTGAAAATATTTTTCTATAAACATCTAATTTTTCTAAGAAATTTTTAAAATTAAATGTAACAAAATTAATAATAACCGGTTCATCTACAAAAAAGTCGCGCGTAGAAAATTTCGGTAGTTAAATTTATAAGATGTGAAACCGAATTCCTGATAAATATTTATGTATGTATTTAGAAAAATTTTATATTTGAAATATAAATTGTCTTCTAAAAATTTAGTATTTGAAGTCATTCGTGCTTCAAATACTAAATTTTTAGAAGAAAAAAATTATAAAAAATATTCAAGCTTCAAACAATTTTTAATTTGTTTTGATTAAAAAAGGTATGCAAACAAAATTTATTAAAAATTAAACGATTTCAACCAAAACTTAGTTATGCAAGATATTGCAATGAAATATTTTAACAGCCAAAATTCCATAGACTGGCGGTAAAAACTGAATGTTTTTTTAAGTTGAGGTTTTTTATTTATTTTTTATACAAATAAGTTTCATGCTTTAACCAAAACCATATGAATCAAACTTTCGAACTTTATAAAGAATCTAGAAAAATTCAACAAGTTTCCATTAAAGTTTTCAACTTTTAATAAGAATATTTATAACATTTTTCATAAATACGTGCAAGGTTTGAACTAAAAAATCACATTAATTTTTTACATTTTTTTTTTGTTGATGAAATTTGGCATTTTTTTCATATAAACATGAAATTTTTATGAAAGAAAAGGCGCAAGACCGTTGTCGAAAAAAATAACAGTTTTTTTTATATAATATTAAAATTCTACGTAATTTTTATCCGCTTTAAAGCTGCACTTGTTTAACTTAAATTGCCATAAGCCTTGTAACTGCATAGCTAAAATTTTTATAAAAATTGTAATTGAAAAGCTCAAAACTATACAAAAAAAAAAATTGGATTTTTTATAAATTGTGTATAAAGTTTGAAAGTTTAATTTATATGGTTTAGGCTAAAGCATAAACCGGTTTTTTATAAAAATTAACAAAACAATGCTTGCTTGAAAAACATTTACGTAAATATTAAAACAAAAAAGCCATTCATCCAGTTTTGACCGCCAGTGTAAAAATATGTATAATATATTATATTTGTTTAACTTCTTTTAATTTCAATATTTTCATTTTTTTTCTAAACTTTCTTTAGCTGATGCGTCTCAATATAATTTTCACATTTGTTTAACTTATTTGGAATGTTTACGGACTTGCATACGTTTTTCCTCTACTGCAATGCATACATACTCAACAAAGGTTTTTTTATTAAACAACTCTAGATTCCCAACCAAAAACCTAATCGCACATAAAACTAACCACGTAATTGTCTGCTCGCCTACCTGACTGTTCTATGCATAAACAAAGCTAATAAGTACATACAAACAACCGAAAAAACATTTTGTATTCATTCGAAATAAAATGTTCCGAAATTTTGAGATTTAGATACGCCTTACATATACATATATATTTAATTAGCTGTAACTACAGAAAGATATTTAACAAATAAAAAAAAATGCATCTGAATGTTTGCTGCATTTGATCCTTAAGTAACTTTGGTCATTATTTCCCCCATATGTATGTAAGTAACTGCGTGCAATTCTCAACCGGCATATGTGCAATTTTCTTCATATAAGATATAACCAAATAGTCGATCACCACATTTTACCCTCAAACGGTGAGCTTGACAGCGTGCCTAAAATTTGTTGCATACATGTTCTCAGAAAAAATTATAATTTAAAGATTTTTAAAATACTATGTTCATTAAATTTTGTTGATCAAAAAATTCAATTTTCGTTAAAGGATTATCGAATTTAATATACAATTTAAGCATTTATAAGACAACGTATTAGCTCTGTTTAAAAACAAAATGTTAATACAAATAAATATTTTATAAAAACAAACAATTTAATTTTTAGGTAAATATTTAACAACTTTTATAAAAAAGAAAAAAATTTAATTAGCGTCGGTCAAAGTTGAAAAAATGAAGAAATTTTTTTTTAAATTTCCTCCGAAATCTTCGATCTAACATTTTAAATATAAATATGTTCTGTCTATCTGGCGCAATCAACTACAGTTACGTTATTTGTGTCATTCTATGCCCCTCAAAAAAAAAGGAGAGAGGTTATTGGACAAGTTATCCACACAATAAAATACGTCGAAACGACGTACGTTCAAATTAAATAAAGGTACGATTGTTCCAACCTTTCCATCGCTCTGTCACATTGCTAATCGAACAGCTGACTGAGTCTGAACACTAAAAAGCCTTAGCTTTATTCAAAACTTAATTTACTCAATTAAATTTCTGTTTTAACTTAATATTATTTTTGATGTCGGTATAATTAAGGTATATGTAGCGATATATCAAGAATATATTCTCTTGACTGGAGTAATGCAATTTATTGATTTTTTTTACTCAGGCTAATGATCTAAATCTCGAAAATTTTCTGGCAACTCAGTTACTCATTTGTAATTTAAAAAAGTGCTTTTTAATAAAAAAAAAATACTGTATAAAAAAACCATAACTCAACAAATCACAATACACAATGTTTTATTTTTTTTTTTTAGTGCTGTGCTAACCCCATTCCAAGCCAATTGAACCCCTAAATGTACCTAACAATTACTAGCGCTGTAAAATCACAGACTCCAAATATTTGCCCAAACAGTTTTGTAGTAAATGAGTAAATGAGTCTAAAAACAAGCACATTACTTGCTTATTGGCCACTTTCTTGAACACAGCAAAACCTATAGATACTATTAAATCCCGCAACATTTACTTACAACATTTCTTTGGCCGTACACCTACCCGTTTAGTGACTTGAGCAATCGCCCTAATGTCCTAAGTAGTTATACATGCATACATACATATGTACATACATATGTAGGTACATGGTTGTTGTCTCATGAATCGCACGTTCTAGCTTTCACCATTTGCTGCATGTTTTCGACACATCTTTTTTAAATATCCCCCCCGAGTGAGCAGCATTTTTCACACGCAGCCTACATCTCCCTAATTACAAATGATTTTCCGAATCATTTTGTATATATGTATGCAATTATTATCGCCCATTTAAAAGCAAACAGAAAACATAGAAACCTTTCCAAGCCTTTTTGAAGTAAGCTTACATGTAGTTAAATTACAACAACAACAACAACAACAACAAGCGCAAAGCATTCTATGCACGCAGGTAAACTAATATACTCGTAGATTGTTGGCATGCATCCTTTCCTCGTTTTGCTTTCACCTACACCGTTTCCCTTCCGTCGCTCGTGAAATGTGAATGTGTTTTGTCTTTGTGAATGTATGACACAGAGCTTTAGTTGTCAGAAGTTGTTTTCGCTTAGTTGGCAGTGAATAATTTTGTACTAAACGAATTTATTTAAGTTAATTTTTAAAGCCGATAAAATTTTGTTTAAAATCGCTAATTTGCTTATTTGCATAAATGATATTTACACATAAATACATAGTTTTTAATAATTTTGGCAAACTTAAAAAAAAAATATGAACCAAATCTTGCACTATTATTTATTTATACTCACTTGGCGCATGGATTTTTTGTACTTTTTGTGCGTACCGCTTATTGTAGCACTCTCTGTAAATACTGGATAATACTCAACATTTTTGTAATTAAAAAATATTTATTACTTTTCATTTAAACTTTTCTCAAACAAAATATTTACTTATTTAATAATATAGAGTTATACTATTTTGTACTATATACTAAAGTATTTTATTTATTTGACTTTCTATATTGTGATAATTTTCAATATTGTGCCTACAGACTGTGCTTTTCGAAACTGAAACTATTGCTGGTAGCTATCGAAATCAAAGGTGCCGAAGAGGGTGCGGATAGCAAGATTTCCATCAATCCGCGCAATGCTAAAATACAAGCGAACACGCAAGGCTTCTTTATAGCTCAAAGCGCTGATGAAGTGAAACGGTGAGTAAAAAAAAAAATAATTAAATGTGTGCATTGGGGTGCCTCACCAAAAAAGTTGCGGCTTTTCCCCCGGCATTTTTCAGCGCATGAAGTCTCCAAAAAACTCATTAATTTGATTCCGTTTATAAAATAACAATATAATAAAAAATATATATATTTTTAAAACTAATTTTATTTATAATATATGGATTTTCGGAGGTCTGTTAAATTGAACTCAAGTAATATTCTGGCGGAAGTTTTAAAATGTAATAAATTTTATAATTCCGACGGAAAAGCCGTACCGTTTTTTTCTTTTGTTTATATTGAGGGTGATGCCCTAATGTATATAAACTTTTTTTTTTTAAGATGTAGTGAAATAAGTATCCTCAAGTGGGTTGAGAAAAAGTAATTTCGTGTTTTGCTGAAGTGGATTTTTTTTTATAAAATAAATTTATTTTGCTAATTCTGTACAATATATTTGTTGTCTTGATTGAACTAAATAAGTTCGGAGATTTCTAAGTAAAAAGGTAATAACACGATTTTTTTCACAAGTCTTTTTGAAGCTAACTTTTCGGGATTGAGAAAGTTTGTCAGGGACCTACACAAAAGTTAGTCGAACATTACAAAAATTCAGCCAAGATCTTTATTATTTTGCTGTGCTGTGTAGTATCGTGTCGCGTTACCTGTCGTACCTTTAGTCGAAGACTTTTGAAAAATCCGTATAGATCGTACATATCTGGAAATTATTTTGAAATGCGGAAATGCAGTAATCAGTGAAAATAGCCAGATTGATAATTGTGGAGCGGTTGGAGCCGAATCCATGTTGATTTATAGAAATCAGGTTTTTTACAGCAAAAGATAACTTACCGTTTACTACAATCTCCAATTATAGTTATTATTTTATAAAATTATAATTTATTCTTTAAAATACCGTATAAATTCAAGTTCCAAACTGTTTTCAATATGTAAAAAAAAAATATAAACAAACGTTCGTAAAAATCTCGAGCCTTTTAAATAGAAAGGTCTTGTAAAAATTAAAAGTAACTGGGACTTACCGTTGATTTTTGGTTTTTTTTTTTGCATGCGGTGTTGTGCATTTTCTGCCATACAAAGTATTTTCGATAGGGTTCGTATTTGCACAGACATGCGTAGCACATCCTAACATTTTACGCTCACAATCGTGTGCTGTGCATATCAAAAATTAAAAACTTGCACACATATGTGTGTGCGGTTTGGTAAAAAGCACAGGCACATGTGTGTACTTTGTATTTTTTTTATATAAAGCAAGAATTAAAGCAAGCAAGCAATTAAAACAATTTTTTAATATGTTTTCTGATATATACAACATTAATTGTTAAAGCTTATTTTTATTAATTGTGGCGCGCTAATAGTTATGACACAGGATATACATATAAGTGATGTTTTATTTTTGAAGACGTCGCTTTGGAGTAAAAAATATAAATGTTTATTTTTTTCAACATTTTTCTATTATTTCATATTACAGAGCCTGGTTCTACTGCAAGGCCTGCCACGAGGATATCAAAGACGAAACGCTGATCAAGAAGTGTAAATGCAAAAACTGTGAGTAAACTTTTCATAACTATGCAAAAACACTTAATGAAAAGTAATTTTAATACTGTTTTGAAAAAATAAAATTAATTAATTTACTTTAGTTTTATTTTCATATAAAAAAATTATTTCAAATATTTTCAATTATGTATTTTCAATTATTGCGTAAGAAGTTTTGAATTTGGTTTTTCAACTTTATTTCATCTATGGTAACTCTCTCTAATTACTTAAAGAAAAACGAAAATTATTGTTAAATCGTATTATTAGTGACTTATTAAAACTGTTATTGCTGTGCAATTTTCAAACAGTGCAGCAACAAAATTCCTGCTATTAGAAATGTATAATATTGAAAATTATTCTATACTTAGTCTTTCTAATGTTTAAGTTTATATATAAATCGAAATAGCATACAAATTTCCCCGGTTATTCAAACTCTAAGCGTTCCCTACAAAACTAATTATATTTAAGAATATTTATATGCACAAATAAGAAACGATCATATTTTTTTTTATCATCTTTTCATACATCTCCACATATATTTATATTTTAAGTGTTTATTTTAATTTGTCTTCAAATTATTTAATAGCTATCACACACGGAAATCCTTAATCATCAATACCATACTACATAATTCTCTTTTCTATATATTTATATGTATGCAAAAAAGATATGAATATAAATTTTTTTATGTACTTACATATATTTATGTATATTAAAATGCTCTCTTTTCCAAATATATTTCCAATATTTTTTATGTATTGCCAATGTTGGCGTGGCGTGTTCCTGCCAAAAACATGACCTGTTCGATCTCTTTGGCCTACCACAAACAAAAACAAAAATCCATAACTGTTCAACACACCTACGTACAAACCGCTGACAATTTTTAATTACATAACATATTTCACTTCACGCGTACACTTTCGAAATCATAACCAACAAAAAAATATTTAAAATGTTTTTCGAAATTTTATCATTCGAAACAAACCAAAAAAAAAAACAAAAAACGCTTCTCCCGAACAGTGACGGTACAGCCAAGGACCAAATTTGATGATTTAGGTAAATTGTCTTCAAAACAGTATGCAAATATAATTATGTATGTGCAACTAAAAAAAAACAAACAAGCACACAATACAACACTTAAGAAAGCATTACACAAACAAATTTTAAATAACAAAAATAAGAAAATGAGAATACAACAGAAAAATTCACCAAGAAAATAATTTACACAAAGATTACAAATATTTTAATCAAATAAAACCTCGCCCAAATACAAATTGAGTTTATCTTAAATATAAAACCATAATAAACCTTGTGTTTTAAGTTTTCATTTAACAACAATTTTTTGCAAAACTTAAAATCGCCTTCCACCCATCCAGTATCCTCGACCACACACTACTGATTTTTATATATTTAGTGGTGGTTTCACAAGATATCATAAGCGTCGCAATGTCTTAAATTTTTTTATGATAAATGACGGTTCAAAAATTTTTAGCGAATCTTTAAAAATACAAATGGTTTTTGAGCCGACAAAAAACATACAACATTCATTCTGCGACTACTGTGTAGAATATTTTAACCGTTATTTTATATTAAACAAATTTCGACATCATGTGAATCCCGTTATTTAATTTTGTTTTCTAACACGCTTATTTATTTTAAATAAATTACGGTATTTTTTTTTTAATTTGTAATTCGTTTTTATTTAGATTTGTGATATACATAAGTATCTCCAATAGTTTTTAATTTAACCGAAATTCATTTTAGTTTCTCAAAGAAAAAATAAGTAAATAATAAATTTAACTCATGACGCAATGAAATCAGAAAAAAACTTTCTGCCCGAAAAGAAATTTGGTTCTGATTTTTTTAATTTTTCTATTCACACAATTTGGAATTATTTTCAAATCGAAATTTTAAACTTGTATCCAGGTTTTTTTTTGTGTATGTATGTCATAATTTTTTTTTTGTCAGTATCCAAATAATACCTATATCATTTCCTTTAGACTAATTTCGTTTTTAAATTTTTTTTTTTATCTCATTTTTTATTTAACTATCCCTTTTTCCACATCTTTTGAAATATACATTTTCTTTTACACCTTAGTTTCTGTGTATTGCGCCTCTTCAAACCACCTAATGAATGGCTGCTTACTCAAATACCTTTTTAATACAAAAAAAAAACAAATATAAAAATATTTAAATTACAGTTTTTAACTGATTTCTCACTTTTTTCTGTAAATATGTTTGCGTGCATTGCATTCTCTTCCCTAGACTTCCAAACCAAAAAACATAAAACTACAAATTTTTTTAAAAAAAATCCTTTAAAGTACCTACCTATTTAGATTTTGTTACACTTTTTACAAACTTCAAACTCACCAAATTGAAAATTTTGAACATTTTTAAATTAGTGTGAAATGTATTTAACAAATTCGCACAGTCGTAGGCAAATAAATACATTTTTTACTCGTTTTTGATTATGTATAAGAGAACGTTCAATGAAATACCGATTTACAGTTTTGGTTATATAAACACCATTTACTTTTTGGGCCAATTCATTTTTACTTCAGGAATAGTCATGTAATTGTTACCGAAATTTCTCTTAGAGATTTAAATAAATAAAATTTTTTATCAGATTTCCTAAAACAAAAAAATTTCACTGAAACATAGACATATGCAAATTATGGAAAAAAATCTTTTTTTATCTCAGGATGCACTAATTCATTACAAATTTTATTTGTCAGTGAGGTTTAAATTTCCATAAAATTATTTTTTTGAAACAATTCTGCGCTAGAAACTTAGGTAAGAATAACTCTCTGAATATTAAGTTCTTCATTATGTAAACTAAAAAATTATAATAAAAAACTGTAAATATATTCAATTTGCATATTATTCACTTCTCCACTCACTTTTTCAACTCTAGCTGCAGACATAATCATTTTCGATTTCCTTCTTTAAAGTTAGCCACCTTCTAGCAAATACATATGTGCCGTCTCCTACAACTTCCATAAGGTTGTCAAAGGTTATTTTGTATTACTATTTTATATACAGGGTGTCTCAACCAAAGGATTAAATTTCTTTCTTTTCGCCATATACATATACACTATACTATACTATAAAAAATATAGCCACTGAAACAAAATTATTATAGTTTGACAATTATGTCATGGACATCATTCAAATATTGCAAAATAAATTCGATTCCGTCCTGGAGTGAATTTTTAAAAAAAATATCAAAATTTTCTGATATCTTCCATTTTGTTTGGACACCCTGTATATAAATGTGTTCCGCAGGTAACATTCACATATAGTTGACAAGTTTTAATATGAATAAAATCAAGTTTTTATGCTTCATTACTCAGAAGGAATTGTAAGGTTTAAATTTCCGAAAAAAGTTTAATTGATTAATTAATGAAATTATGACAATTGGATTTCAATATACACTCTCTTAATTAACCATTTGCACATAAACGAACACACACATTTATGTTAAACGCGGAATGATAAAAAATTTGCAATTCATCACAGGCACACACGTCATTTCTTTCCCTATAATTTTCTTTGAATATAAGAATTTTCCCCACTTTTACCTTCTTATATTAACTCTAAAATACTATTTTGCACATAAACGTAAGTTGCTTATTCCTTTCGTTAGCTCGTCAGTGTTCTGATTTCCTATGAACAGCGCATGGACTGGCACAAATTCAAATCGAAGACGATAAACGTATTTACTTACAAATATGTATGGAAAATATATTTACATTATATAAGAAATTTCAGCAATATATGTACGTACGTACATATGTATACATATTTGTTTAAGTATGAGTCCCAAAAAGTTTCTGTTACATACTCGTATCGATGTACATACTATATATACCCTCCAAATATGCATACACTCAGAAAACAAGAAACCAGTTTCCTTATTTTAGAGTTACTGTTTTTTCCTTAGTGTTATGAAAAATTTACTCAATTTGATAAGTTTTCCTTAATTCAGGTTCATGCTAAAAATAGTGCGTCATTAATTTGAGGAATTTTGAATTTTGTCAATACTGTTAAGACAAAGTTAATTGCTTTTCTGGGAAATTTCGGCTGTGACGTCGCGTGAAGACTACTGCTTCTGGCTCTGAGATCGCAGGTTCGAGTCCAGTTGGAGGTGGTTAGAGTAAAGTAAGTCAATTATTTCAATTTAGATTTATAATTACAAATCATAAAATTAATTTCATATATGGAAAAATCTAAATACTCAAATACCATAAAAAAAATGAGATAAATTTAAAAAATTACAATAAAAAAAAATTAATAAAAATATTAAAAACAAAAAGCTTCCTGCTCTGGGACTCGAACCTTGCATCTCTCGACCGGTACCTACTACAGAGCTTTGCTCTGTCGGCCATTGCGACTGTTTGAGCGCCGCGAGCAAAATGACATACTTATTTCTTTCACGGCAACTTAATTTTTCCTAAGAAGAAAGAAAATAGTACTGAAAACTAGGGAATTGTGTTTTCCTTAAACTGAGTGAAATCGTCGTTTACTCATATTAAGGCAGCCATATCATTGGAGCCATTTCAAGGTAATATTGCCTTAGAATAATATACTTTTTTCCTAGCATCGCGGAATGTTTTTTCTGAGTGTATATATAGTATATGTATATAATGTATGGTTACTTGATTGATTGATGATGTACAACACAAAAAAACATACATATACAAGTATATACATATTTATATTATTATTTATTTATGCATACATATCATTTGTATTTTGCGAAGTTAATTAGGAATCTAGATACAAGTTTAATTAAGTTATTAAATAGTACACTCCTAAAGTTATCTGCAGGTATTTAATTAAATAAGTAAATACTCCAAAATATATTGATGATGGAATGAGATTTGATAATATTTAGAACGTGCAAACCTTTTCAGCACAAACCAAGTCAAATCAACCAATGCATTGCAATGGTTGGAATTGGCCTTTTTTTGATTTGAATAATTTTTTCAGAAGTTTTCTTTTCTACCAAA